GACAAATTATTGTAAGAAAGAGAGGAAGAAAAAAAATAATCCTTCATAATAACTGTGGAAAATATCTTCAAGTTTTCTGAATATCTTTAGCTGCACATGGAGCTGTCCATGCAAGCATGGAGCCAGCAGCTCATGGAAAGTGATTCTTCTCTTCTCACTGGTACTTGAGACCACATCTGGAGTGCTGTGTTCAGGGAGCTGCAGTACAGGACTGACATTGGGGTACTTGGGCGAGTCCAGCAGATGACAGGATGGTTGGGGCTGAACTGTGTGACCTCCAAGGAGACTGGGTTTCTTCAGCTATGAGAAGAGAAGGCAAATGAGTGATCTTGCTGGTGCCTACAAGAACATAATAGGAGGATATCTAGGGCAAACAGAGCCACAATGGGAAGACTAAGGGCAATAGATACAAATTCGAACATGAGGTATTTTGGTAAGATACAAAAGAAACATTTTATACCATGGATAGTGAAACACTGGAATGCATTGACCAGAGAAGTTGATTTAAATATTATTTTCTAAATATTGTTTAGTCTCTCCCTTAAAATATTTTTTTTCACTGTTTGAATTAATTCTGTTTAGTAGGCCCTTTGTCCCCTCTACAGTTTTATTCCAGTTGCTATAGAGTACTCTCATGTTCTGGAAAAAGCCTATAGACAGCTCTTTATTATTCTGTACAGAAATAATTGAGTTAATGTTTGATAAAAAAAAAAACTTCAAATTTTGAAAATGTGTGGTGAAAGCCTGTTAAAGATACCCAGATAGGTTCATCAGATTAGGAATGATTAACTTGTGTGGTGTTGTTAATGTACTAGTTGTTAATGTAGTAGAGCATTTTGAAATATAAAGTATATTTTATTATTCCAGCTGGGGACCCCCCCCCCCAGCAAATAATTGTCTTGAATCACATCTTAAATGTGTGTCTGTTGGTCCAATAGAAGTCATTATCTTCATATATTAACTGCCTTACTTCTATCTCTAGTGGCAAGATTAATAGGAAATCTTTAAAAGCATTTTTTCACTCAAACTGTTTAACACTTTCAAAATTCCTGTCACTGAAGATTGGAAAAATCCAGGAATTTATTACCAGACATTTTTTTTTGATCTTTAATATCAAGGCAAATTATGTAGATAATTTAGCTGGAGACAAGATAAATGAGGAAGTTCTCTGGCATTTCTGATAGCAATTGTTACTTTTCCATCCTGAACAATTCTAGGGTGAGAGTCTCTATTTGGGAGGGAGCAGTGCTGAGATACATAAAATCCATCAAGGTATAATATAATATCCAATATAATAATCTCCAATATAATGGAGCTGATGGAATACAGGTTCTTCAGGCAGACATAGGGTTAGAGAGGTTGCTGTAAGACAGAAGGAAATAATGCCTTCTGCTGCAACTTGGTTTTGTTTGTGATATTGCTCTGAATCAAGAGCAAATCCAGAAGAGGTGTATGTTTCTTCACCTCTAAATCCCTTCCTTCCCTATCCAGTGAGGAGCTGGGTCCAGCAATTTACCATTAATCAGAATTGCACTGGAATTTCCTATGCTAAATAGATAATCATAGGATCTTTTGTGGATTCCCATATTTCAATATGATAAAATTATTTGCTATAAATTGTTGTCATTATAACACTTACAGTATTAGTCTTTTCTGGGTTACTGAATTTCTGTAACTTAATAGATAAACATTCATTTTATTCTGAATAAGCTCTTTTCAGCTTTATAGGGGAATGGCATAGATTTTTTTTTTTCTTTTATTGATATTTCCATTGAGAGCTGCGAATAGAGGTCGGATGGAACTGATTATAGAATGTTTTGGATTTGAAGGGACAGTAAAGATAATTTCACTCCAACTCCCCTGGATGTGTCTGTCCAACCAATTCTTTATCCACTGAACAGTCCAGCTATCAAATCTATCTCTGTCCAACGTAGATAGAAGGATGTTGTAGACCATGCCAAAGACGTACCAGAAGTCCAGATAAATGACATCTGTAGCCCTTCCCTTGTCCACTGATGTAGTTACTCCATTGTAGGTCACTAGGTTGGTCAGGCAGGACTTGGCCTTGGTGAAGCCGTGGTGGCTGTCCTGAATCACTTCTCTGTCCTGCATGTGTTCTAGTACAGCTTCTTGGAGGATGTGTCCCATGAACTTCCCAGGCACAGAGGTGAGGCTGACAGGTCTCAGTGTCCTCCTTGTTACCCTTTTTCTGGTCAGCTGGGACTTCACCTGACTGACATGACTTTTAAAATATGGAAAATGGCTTGGCAGCTAAATCCACCAATTCTGCCCAGAAGTGTGGAATGCAGCTTGTTGAGTCCCACAGATTTGTTTATATTCAGGTTCCTCAACTGGTCATGAACCTGACTTTTACTTAAAGTGGGAGGGACTTTGTTCCCTCCTGCTGTCCGTCCACTTGAGTGGTGTGGGAAGAGAGGTTACCATTGAAGACTGAGGCAAAAAAAACCCCAACCCAGTTGTTGAGCACCATAGCCTTCAGCTAATCAATTTTTTCCAGTTGTCCGGGATTTTTTATGGCTGGGAGGGGTTATACCTTCTTTGACTTTCCTTTCCTGGTTTACATTGATACTTATTTGAATTGGCTAACTGGGAAATAATAATTTCTTTAAAAATATGACTGGTTTGATGTGATGCATTTGACCCAAAGTATAAATAGTATTTCCTGCTATTTCTCTGGGTTATGTTTTTTGAATTTTGTTTTGAATTGCAAATGATGAGAAGCAGTATGTTGTCTGTATGTATGATTTTGTGCTGAGTGGACAGACCCTCATGCCAGTGTCAGCAAATGTTTTAGGATCAGAGGAACAGAGCACTTCAGTCTTACTCTGTTGTTCAAGTATACATTTTAATTATTTTTTTCTTTTTGCTACTGGCTTTTTTGTTCAGCGATGACCATAAATATAGTATGTGAGAACCAAAAACCCATGAAACAGAGGATATTTTTGCACTAGTGAGATGGATAAAATCGTGACTGAGTCTGTGTTAGACTGAAAAGATGGTTGCTGGATAAAGGGCCAAAGGTGCAAACTTGAAATTAGATAATATTTTAAATGTTGGTAATTTGAATTTTTTTTTAGGATACAGAAGAGACAAAATTTTCTCTCTTCAAATTACTATCAGACACTGATAGCTTAATGTTTCTGATTTTAATTAAATTCTGATATGTGTTTTCGGCTCCTTTTTATAAGGACTAAGTTGTATAGTTGGTCTACATGTGTAAGTAAATGGATCTACTGAATTATTTGCTGTTCTTATATACATATGTTCTTTGCTATTTTGCAACCAATGTTTCCAAATTTTCTCTTTGGGGGAGTTTGAATTCATTGCCATAAAAGGTTCTCATCCCTGAACTTTTTTAATATTTGTAGTAAAATACTGTATTTGACAAAGTGTACAGGTTGACTGCCTTTGAGGTTTTTTTGATGGTGGTCTGCTCAAGTGCCAGAAAGAGAATTGATTTCAACACATCTCTGCTATTCAAATTAAGGATTTATAAAATGGTTTGTAACTTTGCTCCTTTGCATTTTAATTCATAATAATGGTGTTGGAAACACTAAATGTTTTCCTAATCTGGGCTGAAAGAAAAAGGTAAACACTAGGATTCTAACTTGTTTTTCAGTGTGTGAGCGATGTATACAGCTTATGAAAATGCTAGCATTGGGTTTTCAGTCTGTTTATATTATATCTCAGTGCCAGGTAGGAGCTTTCAATATAGAAGCCCAAGGAAGTTTTCAGGGCTGCTTGAAAGAAAGTTATTCCAGTATTTTCAGAATGTAAATTTTAAATGTATAAGGGTAATTTTTTATGAGTTGTGTGGTTATTGTAGTCTGACTTTAAATATATTTGATGGGCTACTGAATCGTTTCTGTGTTGACAAATCAACACTTCACTTTCCTATGGGAATTTTTCTAAGTTCTGCTAATTAGTGGAAAACAGCTACAAGAGTATGGTAAACCTGTTTTTTAAAAAATGGGATATTGAATGGAAATGAGGTACTAAATCCCCAAATTGTATATTTTTATTCCTTTGGAGTATAAGATCCTTTTGACTAATAGTGTGGTTGAAGTGAACTTATAGATAGTAACCTTAAAATTGTTGGCAGGAAAAAGGACAGTAGAAATGAGAAAGCCTTGAACTTTTTGTCATGTAGATGGCTTGGAAATGAAAAAACGTATTGTATAACTGTTTACATGGAGAAAATTGACTCTGAGAGCAGTGCCAATGACAACATTTCACAGAGGTTGCATTTCCCTTGCCCAGTAGATTGTAAGAAACTGTTCTGGTAGTTGTTATAGAAACAGCTGGTTGCAGTGACCGATTTATCTCTGTCAAAATAGACAAGAATTACCTGAGCTACTGCCGTAACACTTTACTCAAGTGCTGTGACTCTGTAGGTTCTAAGATGCAGTTAGTGTAAAGATTTTACTTTGTGTTGTGCAGTCCAAATAGTCTTGTTTTAGTTTTCTGTTTTGTCCTCTGGGATGACTTAGAACAAGGCAAAGGCTTGCACAGATGCCAAATGGAAGTGTCTTAGATTACTTAGAGGAGGAAATTGTGCTGTTAAAGTCTTGTAGATTTAATTATAAATCTAATGATGCTGTGTAAATATGAAATGTTCACTGCTAGGGGTAGAGCTCTTATAGATATTTTTGTAATACAACAAATTCAGTTATACCTCCATGTAGTTTGTAACATAACAACCTAATAATCTTCCCTTTGCAGTATTGCAAACGTAAGTGCCTTTGCATGTTACCCAAAAAGGAAATTTAAAGCTTGTAACTTATTTTGCCTGTGTCCTTTCAGTTAAATTTCTAGGAGCGGAGTCATCCCTTTTTCTCACCTTTCAATTTCACTTTGTTTTTAAATTGTCAAGTAAAACTCCTTTTACCTCTCAAAAATTGATGAAATGTGCTTAAATGTGTATGTTTATTGTTGAAGTTTATTTAGTATTTCAAATATTCCATGCAATTTCTTTATAGAAACGATTACAAAAAGAACTATTGGCATTTCAAAATGATCCACCTCCGGGAATGACTCTAGATGAAAAGAGTGTACAAAATTCAATTACACAGTAAGTATATATACTGTTTTATTTATGGTATCATGCTGAAAAGACTAAATAATGAGAAGTTCTCTTCACACTTCCACCATTTACTCCAAGTAACATTGTGAATTTTGCTTTTAGTCTAGGCAATGAAATACTGTTCTCCTTAATAAGCATACTGGAGTAATGTGTTGGACACTTTCAGGAACAGGGTAGTAAATCTACTGAATTTTTATTAGGCATTTTACTGTCTAACAAACTGTCAATTGGTAAAAGCTTCTGCATTTTTTAGAATAAAATAATTACCTTTCATAGCTACTAACCTCCAAAACTTTTCTAGATTTATTGAAATAATGGAGTAGCTGTTTTAGAGTTCTGTAATATTTTAATAGAATATATGTCATGGCTTTTAATTTTCATCACCTTCTTTCTCTAAGGCAAGTGGAGAAAACTTGCTAAAAAGCAAAGTTGTCTGCGTATACTTGTTTGCACTTTTTTCCCTGCCTTGCTTTTCTCAGTGATTCATGAAATGGGAAGAGAAACATGGAAAATATTCTTTGTTGAAATGGGCAGAGGTTGTTCTTGGTATTAATCTGTTTTTTAATTGACAGAAATTCAAAAGATTCAGACTGTGTTGGTATTTTTTTCTTATAACTTTCTTAGTTTCATTATAGAGAAATGTTAAAAGTTTGTCACATGTAAACATGGTTGAGAGTATGATCTCAGACTATATGTTCCGGACTAGGGTATTGATGGAGCAGCTTAAAACATAGAGCTGAATTCTGATGTTTTCACATCTGCATTTTGGGTGGTGGCACTCAGACCATGTTACATGAGTCTTCTGAGGCTCATATATAGTGAGTTAAACACTCACTGCTTTTTAAATGATGGTGGCCTTTGTGATACTTCATGCAGATGAACATGACTAAAATTAAAAAAGCAGTTTTTAGTTTTCTGTGAAAATTAGTCAGTCTAATATTGCAAGTGGTATTCACTTATTTCAACAAAAAACTATTAAATAAAAGTTTAGAGCAGATGGAAAAGGCTGTCTCTGTTTCCAGAGTACTACCTCATTATAATTTCTGCCTGTATATACCTTTCTGCCTTTTATACCTTTCAATACCTTGCACATAAAAACTTCCTATTTACTGTCATGCTAGATTTTAAAACTGTTGCTGTTTTAGAAGCATCCTGTCACAAGTAAAATGATTTTTTTTTTCTCTTTGAGGATTTTTGGTATTAGGTAGCCTGTTTTGAGTTCATTAATCAAGTTACAGTTTGAATTGGTTGCATTAAAAATTTGTGTAGCAATACTTGCTTGGGTTTTAAAGATGTTGAATAAAATAATTGGATCAGTTGATGTAACTGGGTCATTTAAAACATTGAGCAATCTTTTATTTTAAATATACAAAGATTAGAAATTTGAGAAGGCTAAACTCTAAAGCACACAGGAAATATGGGTTCTACTGATTCCTTGACCATAAAAGGAGCAATATACAGGCAAAATTATCTTCTCCTTAGTAAACTATTTTAAAAACTTGAAAATGGAAGCTCTGAATCACAAGAACCAATAAATTTAAGAGTATTGGTGCACTCTGTTTATAACTGTAAAAGCAGAAGGCATAAGAAAGAGATAAGTGATCTGGAGTGCAAATAGATTAAATCGAAAGCATCTTCACAAAGTTAAAATATGAAATGTACTTCATCAGCCTTCACTGTACAGCCGTCACTGTGCTACTGTTGAAGATGCATTCCTCTTGAAGGGTGTGAGAGCTAGCAGTGTATTAAATATGCAGATTTCTCAAGCCAAAAACCAAAACACAGCAATAACAATACATCCAGAAAAAATCCCCAACGAGTGATAAAGGGGAAAATAAAAAATATGCATGACTTAAATACAGAGGGAGAGTATATAGGAGGGTGGAGAGGCTGAAAATAGGATCATCAGAGCTGCCAGCTGGAGATGCTGACTTTTCTGAGTACAGTGCTGTTCTGCAAAATCTCATCTGCCTTCCTTGAGTCGATGTAAACCATATCTGAGTATTTTTGTAGTCTCTTTACCTTATCGTGTTGTTTAGATCTGCAAAACTCCATCAAAACCAAAAATGAGGAAGTGATGCTGCAAAGGATAGTGTTAAGTGGTCAACAGTAGAACTCTAAAATCATAGAAGTTAGATAGCAGAATGTTGCTGTATGTGTTGAATAATATACAAAGCATCTGTTTTTAGCTGTATTAAAAACCCCATAATGCAAACCCAAACCAAATAAAACCCCCACATGCAACACCACCACCCTCTTCCCCAGCAACTCCACCTGTCAGTTACTTCAGTGTTATTATGGTGGAAGGAGCAGAAGCAGAGGAAAAAGAATACTGGTATGTTGAGGTGTTATCTTAGTTACAGATTCAAACTACCCTTTTATTTGCTTTTGTTTTAATTTACTAGGACCTTTTAATTTTTACACTACTAAACTTTTCCAGTTTTCCAGTTTTGATTCCATTAGCTGCAAGATACCATTTAATTTCTGAGTTTTTCACAGATGTAAGTACATGATTTTTGCCCCTTCCCCTTGGTTACAGATTTTATTTTAATAAACTGTGTTGATATTTTCCTTGACAGAAAGGTAGAACAACACAAAAGAGAATGTGTACTAGCTTGTTTCCTTCCAAACCGTTTAAATTTTCAAGCTTTTTTTTTTTTTTTTGGCTTTGTTGTCTCACTTTCCTTGGGACCTGACAGATCTGTGTATAGTTCAAATCATAATTACATTTATAATTTGCATCACTATGTCAGTGCCTGTATGCAAAACACCAAGCTTGTTTTTTTCAGATACAGGCTTGATGTATTGCTCACCTTTGTGGTTGTTGGAAGAGAAGTTAGATGGTGTTGCTGTGATTGATATTTGCTTTGATTAGTCCAGTGCTCCAGGAGTACAGGTATTAATTTTTCAGTACACAATGCTAACAGCTTTTTCCCCTGTTCTTTAGGTGGATTGTAGACATGGAAGGTGCTCCAGGAACACTCTATGAAGGGGAAAAATTTCAGCTTTTATTTAAGTTTAGTAGTCGGTATCCTTTTGATTCGCCTCAGGTAACTGATGCCTTCTTCCTCTCTTACTGCTGCCTTCAGGTTACAGCTGTATGACATGTGCTGAGTGTTGTATTGTCCACATAGCCTAATGTCAGCTTCACTTACTTTAATTTGTGTTAAACACATTGTGCAGATGCCTTTTCTTTACAAATGATTCTGCAGTGAAGTTTAGGGCTCTGATATCTGCTTGGACAGATGAAAGTAGTGTAAACTGGAGGCTCCTTTGATGTTGATATTTGTGTCATGAAATACAGGGTAAAGAAGATCCCCTTTACTGTGATGCAGGAGTGAAGTAAACAATAAACTGCTGCTTCATCCCTTCTTACTTCCAACATATTTTTCTCTGGTTGATTTTTAAGACTCTTGCATCTTCTCTGCTGCCCTTGTTAATACAGCTGAAGAAACACTTGCTTCTGATAGGGATTCTTACAGATACATGAGGTGCTTGAGAGACCTGCAAGATAGTGTTATAACTGAAGTATGTGATACTGTGTTGCTTTCAAGGCAGCCTAGAGAACTGAAGGGACAGCTGAATTTAGAGACTGCAGAACATGGTGTGTACATCCATTCCTCCATTACCTGCGGGAAACATTTCAAAATATGGCTCATAAGAGTAGTGGTCAGCTGTCACCTCTGTTTTTCTGAAAAAGGAAGGAGAAAAGCAAGAGTGCTTTAATTCTTGTCCTGTCTGTTTCAGCTCAGAGTTTAGAAATTATCTCTGCAACTTCTCTTGATGTTAAAACTGGAGCATGGAGCTGTGAGAGACACTTAAGCCATAAAAATGAATTTATTTTTAGGTACCATGATAAACACTAGAATGCTGACTTTTAGTCTTTTACAGAACAAATTGGCCACCTGAACTTCTGCACCTCATCAGGTTTGCAAGGTACTACTTATAGGTGATCCACAAGAGAGTAGCCAATTTAATTTGGTTCCAGGTTGTTCGTCTTCATTACCCAACCTGTGTGTGTGGCTCTGTGCAGTTTATTGTTAAGTAGCAAATTAGATCCATACATCTACACTGAATTTTATCACAGAAAATTAAATTTAAGCACTGGATACTGGATTGTTTTAGATGACTGTAATTTCAGTTTTTCAAACGTTGCCATGCAGTAGGGTCATTCTGCACTACAAATCCTTGGTCATAATTACCTCTTCTGCAAATCTAGTTACTGTGAATTGACAGTTTTCACTTGTGCTGCTTTAATCACTTGGATGTTTTCTGCCTTTAAATGTATGTTGTCTGTCATAGAGTGCATGCTTTTACTCACCCAGTCTGCCTAGTTCAGGTTGTCATTTAAAAGTAGGATATTAGTTACAAGTGAAATACATTGCAGGATTATGAAGGTAAGCCCTTTAATGCTTAAGAAATGCCAGTTTAAAGACCTATGAAAGATCATTCTGCGTCCAGTTTCTCTTACACCTTAGAAACCTGTCTGCCATTTTGCAGATAAATTAAGCTCTCTAATTTCAGTTTCCTGTATGATGAAGGTGTTGCTTCTTGTCATCAGTGAGGAGGTGGGTGTGTTGTGTACATGTTTACGTATTTCTATGCATACTTATATAGCTGAAGAAACACTTAAGAAACTACTGAGTATTATAGTTACAAGTGGTAGAGATTTATGATTTCTTTTATTGTATAAAAGGAGTTGGAAAAGGAGTTCAGGAATATAATACCGATATGAAGATTGCAGTTTTACTCTCTTTCCATTGGTCCTGAAAAAAACTTGACGTAAGAGCAGTAGTTGTCAAAATTGCTTTTCTAGCCTTTTTTTGACCGTGATAGTATCTTTTAATAGAGAGGGATTCAGGTTCTAAACGCTTTTCTTCCATATTCTCCGTGACAAATAAAGACTTTTTTATTTGAAGTAATGTTTTAAAAGTATTTCCTATTTGGTAACATACTTTGGTTTCACAAGTACTTTGTTTATAGTTAATAAGATTGACGAATTTTAATTTTATTCTTCATTTTGGAACCTGGATGAGTTGTCCAGAATTTTATTTCTGTTACATCCAGGTTTATAGAAATACTCCTTTTTTAACCTTGTTGTGCTTCTTGCTGTATAACATTGTGGCTTATAAAATCATTAAAATCCAGTATTTTGGCTAGACAGGTGTATTCCTTAGGACATGGAAGACTGAAGCTGCAAGACTTTGCACTGTGTTTACATTGTTACCTTTGCATTATTCTATGCTGTATAAATTTTAATAGAAAATCCTCTATATTTAACCATTTATTTAAGTCCATTTTCACTAGCTATTTAGGCATCCATTGATTATTTCACATTTCACTTAATAGTTTCCAAAACTAAAGTAACCCAACATGGTAAAGTATATTATTTAGTGTAAGTGAAAATGGCAGACCTGCTTAAATAAGATTATATTGTTTTCCCCAAACCAATACAGTTTTCTTCAAAACGGGGACTATAAATTAGTTATTTTTGTTCTTCTTTTTTTAGGTCATGTTTACTGGAGACAATATCCCTGTTCATCCTCATGTTTATAGCAATGGTCATATCTGTTTATCCATTCTAACGGAAGACTGGTCTCCAGCCCTCTCAGTGCAATCTGTTTGTCTTAGCATTATTAGCATGCTTTCCAGCTGCAAAGAAAAGGTATGGGCTTTTTTAGCACTGTTGAAGTAGAATAAGTAAAAGTTAGTAATTTTCTACTTTACAAAGTAAAATTTTCATTTCTCAAATTCTAAAATAGGCAAAACTACTGTATCTACATTTCTACTACTGAGAAAATACTAAGCTAGAACCGCAAAATAAACAGTGCAGTAAGTACTTTGCCACTGTTTTCATGGTAACCGGCTTATATATCATTACTGGAAGAGTAGTGGATGGAACCCTTCCAGTTGTACTAACTGTGAAGTTCAATCATGCTTTAGGACAATTCTTTGTAAAATTATCCTTCCTCTAAAGGCAGTGCGGAATGACTAGTGAAATGACTTTAGTGCAGATGCTTCTAACTTTGCATCTGTACTATTTCAGTGAACTTGATAATTTTCATTTCAGGAAAGTAAATGGTGCTAAGCTGCTTTTTTGGCACTAATACCTTAGACCTTTATGTAAAGAGATTGCCCTTTCACTTTTGACCATTTCTTTCGCAGAGGGCTGTCTGTGGAAGTTATATGTGGTCAGAGCTTGTCCATATGTGCTATTCAAACATGCCTATTTATTTTGCATCCCAATTAGTCCTAGTCATATACGTACTCAAAAAACCACCCCAAAATGGCTTTCTATTGTATTCTATCTGTGAGTTTTGTAAATTATGACACTTATGAAGAAAAATGAAGAATATGTAATAAGGATCAGATACCAATACTTAAGTTAATTTTTCCATCCACTCTAAGCTGAGCCTTTGAATGGGAATTGGATGAAATGCATCAGAATTAGATTCCAAACTGCAAAGGAATTTAATTTTGGGAGGTTTTTTGAACAACAGCTGTTTCTTGTGATTTAGTTTCTTTTGTTTGTTTATTGTGTTTTGGTTTTTTTTTTTTTTTTTCATTTTTTTTTCTCCCCCTATTTATCATGAGGCTGTTTGATATTTTTTACTATTTTATTTTCTTGGAGTATCTCAAGTAAACATTTGTTACCTGGATCTTTAAGATATATTTCTTGACCAGAAAGGTCTGTTACCTCATTTTCACTGCATTCACATGTTAATCTTTCATAAGCTTATTAAACAGCTCATTTATTACAATACGAGGATTGTTTGATTATTTGTAGGTCTTTTCTTCTGTTGCAGAGGCGACCTCCAGATAACTCATTTTATGTAAGAACATGTAACAAGAATCCAAAGAAAACAAAATGGTGGTATCACGGTGAGTATCTAACTAGGACCAGAAATTTGTAACTTCTTTTCAGGGTGAAGGTAATTAAATTGCAGGAAAGTAGGATAAATGTGTTCAAAGCATTCAACTATTTTTTTCAATTCAAAAAGTTATTTAAATCCTGTTTATGAGACACTCTGCTTTGATTTTTTTTTTTTCTGTATCACATTTGAATAATTCCTGGAAGGAATTTTATTTGAAGGAAATTTTATTTAAATTTGAAGGAAATTTAAATATGTTTTAAATTGTATGATTGACTTTGAATGAAAGTTCTTGTAAAGCATATCAATACATGACAAGTTTACAGTTTGGAATTGGGGAAAGTCCATCATGAAACTAGGTTTTGCTCTAAACCATGTTTTGGTTATTGTTGTTAATACTTTAAAAATTTATATGTTGTTGAAAAGATAACTATATATTTGTAAACAGCTATGTGTTTTGATAGATTTCCACTCTTAATCAGAATTTCCAGTATGGGACAGTTGACTGACCTTAAAGACTCCTAAAAACTAATAATAATATAGTAATAAGATTCTCCATGGACACCATAAAGAAGAAGAAAAAATAATATTAAAACTGCTAGTGTCTGCAGTGCTAAGTGTTGTGTTGGGGATTTTTTTTACTGTTTTGTTTTGGTTTGGGGTTTGCTTTGCTTTTGCGCTTTTTTCTTTTATTTATATGTGTTCTGTGTCTTGCTTTATACTGTGTGGTTTCTTTCTTCTGCCTCAGCATTTGTCATCTTCCACCCAGAGCTGCTGTTGGCTGTATGTGCTTGTCTTATCCACTCCATTGGTGAGGAAAGAGAGAAGAGGGGGATAGAAATGGGCCATGCTTTGTTTCTCTCCTTTCTTGTTAGCAATGCTTTCCTTGCTTTCCCTAGGAAAATTATGTACAAACAGTAGTTATTGGAAGCACAGGTACTTTGGGAAGGGATATGTCAGAGCAGGTAATACTGTATGCTAGTGTAGTGCAGAACAGTTGATTCCACCATGGCCTCTTGCTGAAGGTTCCACAGTAATACATCCTTTGTTTTTCATGGCCTCCCCACTCCAGGATATGTTCTGTTCCTGAAGTGAAACTACAGCAAGTATTTTGAGGCAATGAGAGTTCATGACTGGAGAGGCAAATTCCAAAGTCTTCACCCTTAAAATTCTTAAGATTCTTAAAAACCCATGGACGGCCCAACAAGAAAAACTTGATAGTTTCATAATACTTGATGAGACCTGTGGGGTTTTGACATATGGTGATGTAACAGAATGAAACTCTGTTTCTCATAATGCAGTAATAGTAACTTCAAAACAAGGCTCAGTAAGAGAAGTGCAGTATGTCATGAGATTTGGTATATCTAAGAAACTTGGGGCCGTTATGTGGTTGTTTTTAAAGCTGACTCCAAGAATAATAATCATCTTGCACACAACGATAGATTTTTCATCCTCACCAGAGTATTCAGCACTTTATTTTCTCTCTCTGTTTTCATGCTCTTGTAATGTGTTTGGTGCTTCTCCACTTCTAGTTTTGGTTTCTCTTAAATGGCAGTTTTGGGAGAGTTTTTGTTAACTTTCTATTTCACTTGCTAATTATTTTTAAAGAGAAACAGGTAAAATTCCATTTATTGGCTTTATCTTGTGATTAAAATGTTTTATCTACTTTTAATTTGTACTAGTCTTATTTTGATTTAGAATAGAAATTTGTAAAAGGAGGACAGTCTGCAGATATTACTTTTATTTCTTCATCATGAAATTCAATTTGTGTTAAACAAGCAAAACGGGAACTTAGTATGAAAAGAAATCTGATTCTGACAGTTGCTGGGTTATTATGGCTCTAAACAATGGCTTACAGTTCACTGAATGGGTATTTTAGTTACTAGGAAGTAACTATGCCGGTTTTTTTTTCTCAAAGTCAGAAAACCTTACCCCTCCTCAAATTCAAAGCAACTTAAAAACCAACCTGAGGCAAGAGAAAGTCAGTTCATTTAAATAACTCTCACTATCTTGATTAAAAATTCATTGGGCTCCCCACCACCTTAAATTCTTACATGAAAAATAAAATATTCCTGATGTCCACTAGACAAAAATTTCATAAATGATTAGAGTGTTTTCCCTTCCAGTTTTGTGCATGTGTCATTTGCTTCTTTTCTCAGTTAATTTTGTTTCTCCTATGTGGACATAGAACAAGACTGCCCAGGCATAATCTTTAAATTGTCAGTGTTTTCTAAACAGCTTTAAAGAAATGGTATGTTACAGTAAAATGGGAAGTGTGAAAAGATGCTTCTCTCATGTTTATTTTCTGCTCATGCTTCAACTGAATTGTGTCATATATTTAATCTTGTGGTTGAACCACATTTGCCTGGATAAGTGAGGGAAGAAAAAGCATTCCTACCCAGGAAAGAAAACCAGCTGTCCATGGATAACTGCTGTGAGAAATTAAATGCCAGTGTTAATACAACAACCTATGGAAGGAAGTGTGGAGTGGTTCTGCCACTTCTACTGTCAGCTGCTCATTGGACTGGTTTAGCTTTAATGTGACATTGGAGCTGTGTTTTGAAGAGATAGGAAGAAGTCTGTCATATGTATTAATACATGCATTTGAAGGAAAATATTTTTTTCCAGCATGTACCTGGAATTTATTTACTTGGAAGCAAAATAGTCCATGGTTGGGATATAAAGCAAACCCAGATGATCACAGAGTGATAAAGAGGCACTTTAGAGACATATTCTGACATGTAAATATGTGTCTACATTCAATATAGTACAGATTTTAATCTGTCATATCATCCCTGCCCAAACACAGCAGCTTATTCCACAGAGTTATGGGGCTTTGTTTGCTACAAAATTGTCCTTACGAGCCCTGTTTTGAAGCTCCTGAGCTATGATAACTGAAAATATTTCTAGGCTGTCTGCCCTACCCAGTGTGTGTTTCAACTGTATATTGACTTTCCTGCTGAATTTCAATCTGAGAGTTGCTCGTGTTGTGTTAAAGACAGGGGAGGATCCTCCAGATACTGTTTACTTGGGCATCCAGACTGAAATTGGTTTCATAAAGCTGTTGACTTCCTTTTTTGTTTTCAGAAAGTAGATTTATTTTTTTTTGGTGGGGTGGGGTGAGGAAGGGAAAGGCAATGGTGTTTGTTTTCAGTCCGTGCTTCCTTGCTGCTTTTAGGTTTGGAGGTTGGTTTGGTTTTGGTTTTTTCTTAAGTAGGAAGTGTTTTCTCTGGTATTTGGCCTAAAATTTTAATACACTATTTAAATACCCCTTCTCTCTCTCTCTTTTGCATCCTTGTCCATTTTTTTTTTCATGTACTGTAAAAAATTAAAATAGTTATTTTACAAGTAATAGCTTTGATATAATATTTTCTGATGAGAATGCATACTGTTTATGAGGCTACATTTTTTAGGTGTGGGAGGTTACAAGTAAGTCCTTTAAAAATAAGCAGACAGTAAGTTTGCTTTCTATTAACAACTCAATATTTACTGCTAGCAGGTGCAAATATACTGCAGGTTGATGTGTGAAGGAGAATGTTTAAAAGGGAGAGCATTAATATGGAGCATAATGCAGAAATGATAGGCATAGAACATGCATTTTTATAGTAGGTTCTGTCTAATCACACTATCTAAAATTTAGTGTATGTAATTTACTTTCATGTTTAGGATTTTAGGATTATAGTAGTAACCTGTTCTTTTTGCATAATCTGTCACCTATTGTTTTGTGTTGAGTCTTGCTAAATAATATACATATATATATATATACACACATACACATATGAATGTATAAAGGGTTGAGAATGCATCAGAAGCAGCCCACTCTGCCAGGTCTTATCCCTATATATTCCTTATGAAAGGATGTTTTAATTCGGTAACTGTTGTGGATCTGCTCTACTTCAAGGGTGCAAAATGTTAAGCATATTTGATTTTTCATTTTCTTGGCAAGTAGCTTTCTAAATATCAAGCATGGAAATGACTGTCACTTTAATGGGGTGTTTGCTAATACTTATGTCTTTGGGGGATGTATGTGTATTTTGGAAGTTTAATTTTTGATACTCTTCTCCCTGAGTTGTTATTGAACAAAACAACAGAATTATTCAATCAGGGTATATCCTCTGCATGTTACTGTCTATGCTAGGAATTGTTTCTGCCTATAGCACCTTGCTAATTTGGAATTAGAATGTTTATATGTTTTCCATAAATGCTCTTCTTTTATTTTAAAGATGACACATGTTGATGCCACCATTTTGTGATCCTCGTAGCAGAAGATAGTCCTACTGAGAAAATGAGCACTTTGATCATTCAGTCTTTGAACTTTAACCTTTGACTGGAAGTGACCTATAGGCAATGAAGACTACTTCCTTTGACTGCATTTTTACTAGTGTGCATTCTGGGCGCATGTTGATCGCTGGTTCAGTCCATGCAACTGACATGCTTTTATTAGTCATACAGTATTAATGCAGGTGTCCAGAAATGTCAGAATAATTCCATTATTTTTATTTTAAGCTTTTGGAAGAATTCCAGGTCTTCATATATTGTGCAATAACACTGAGCTCCTTGGCGGTTTTGGTGCATCCATTGCCGGCAATGGACATTGTACCAGGGAAAGGTTTTGCTTCTGCCACAAAAAAGATTGACACATGACAGAGCTTATGAAAGTTTTGGATATATTTGGATTATAAGCAAGGGATTGACAGTTACCTTAAATCCAGCCCATTCTTTTATATTTGGATTCTATGCACTGTGAACACAAAACTAGCAGCATAAGTTAACATGCCTAGCTGAAGGACTGTAATAAGATCATTACGTATTTATTAAATTGTTTATCTGCTGTCAAATTGTTTTGACATGGGCGGTTTTCCAAGTGACACTGGCAGAGAGGTACAATGTTATCCCTATGGTGAAATAAAACTACTTTTTGTATATAGTTATTCATATCTCTGAAGCAAAGGTATGAGTAATTTAGGGTATGAGTGATTTAAACAAGAATTTATTTTGGAGATAGAGGATGGCAGTGATATAACTGAATTTGCTGCAGTCCGTAATTGGGCTTGTAATTTGTACTTTAGAGCTTTTTCCAAATAGATTGCACACTGTTATTTCCTGCTAGCCATCAGCATGAGCCCTACTGCCTACACCAATATTTCATTTATTTATGTGTTCGAAAGCAATCCATATAACATTTTTTTGTTTGCATTCACTGTTTCTTTTGTGTTGTATGTCATGTTTGAATGTTACAAAACAATATTTTGATTGAAAAGCTTTGTCAGAAGATATTTTCATGTAAATTATTTCTTTATCTTGTAAGCATCATCTTGTCTTTTAATCCTGTATTATAAAAAAACAAAAATACATTTTTGACAGAGGCTTAAAGTTTTCACAAAAAAGTGTGGACCTTCTTATTTAAGTTTAGACTAAAGTATATTTTCTTAACTTGCTTGACCCACATAGCCATGCCAATTTTTCCAGGCTTTTCTTCACCAAAAAAAGGGGGAAAAAGCCTAAAATCAGACATTTTTCTGTGGAGCAACATTTATTGAAATGATAGTTGTTCTCAGCACTCTTTAATATTTTGATACTGCAATTAGGATGTCTTTTTAGGAAGCACTTTTGTAAACTAAATACCTTTACACATATGCAAAATTTCTATAATTTTTTTTTACTCTTGCCTTATTGTTGCACTCAAAAGTTCAAGCAATTAATGCATGAATGTCTAAATCAAGTAATAGTTTGATGTAAAAACAAACAAAAGAAAAAAAAAATCCCTAAACCAAATTCACAATGAATAACTACAATAAAAACCAGAAAATTGGCTGAAAAGACTGATTAATTTTTTTTTTAATCTGCTGTATGATAGCTGGCGTTTTATAGCCTTGTACATACTTCTCTGTTACCTATTGTTTTAAACACTTTAAAAAAGGTATAGATGCTTAACTCAGGGTGGATAGAGTTTAGATGGATTTGCTTCAGAGAAGTATTTTGTACAGCATCAGAACTGTAGATACTGGCAGTGAAGTGAGGCTACAATATACTTCAGGAACTGCTTTTTTTTTTTTTCTACTGTACTGAAAACATGTCTTGGCCTTTAAAACTCAATGGTAAAATCTAGCTTTGGATATAAATTTGATATGTGTATATATTTTCACAATGAGCCTTGGAAACATAGAATTAATTCTCTTTTAAAAGCCAAAAAAAACCCCAAATTTGTTTTGAACAAAAGAAATACTTATGCTCTAAACTTTTTGTTTAGCAAAATTTTATTGTTGTGAGATCATCACATGTTATTTTTGGAAATGGTTCATATGAAAGAGCAGTAATCTGATATTTAATCTCTATAGTCTTTTTTACTGCTCTGTGTTAATGGAAACAATTAAGAAATAAATGTATGAAAGGTTCACATAATGGATCCTATTAAAATAGTCCACAGGAAAAAGACCTTAATGTGACCAGGTAATGTCTGAAGAAATGGCTTAACTACATCTCAGATTTAGTTATCTTTTCATATAGTGACTTGGAAAACTACAATACATGGTTTCAGAGAAGCTTTATTACATACCATATGTATTTTATTGAAGATGGGTGTTGTAGTGCAAAGCATTATACATTTTATTGACCTGTGCTATCACATGGACTATACTGAAGTTAAGTAACCAAATTTATGCTGCTCTTTAATAAGCCCCACCCCCTATAATATACTTAGATCAAGAAAATGCAAAGTAGATTAGTAAAGAATGTACCTCAGGTCTTATAGTTTACAGTAGAAATGCCTCATTGGTTCTCTTGTAGATCTGTGGGTAAGTTCACCTATATAGAGAGGGCCAAGACAAAGCTTATAAACCACTGAAGCCCTCAAAATAATGCAACTGTTCTGACAATGTTATGATGTCCTCAAAAAGGGCTTGAATCAGATGGAGGTGGTGCCATCCTTTCCCAAGGGTGACCCTGTGTATGTAACTTTCTTTCACTTGGAATTTCTCACATGGAATGGTTACAGAATTGGCTTGAAACTTGCTTTTATTTTGTGTCAATATTCATGTTGTTAAACACTGTTTTGTGTTTAGTGTCTTTATACTATAACACAATAAATTCTTGTTTTAAAATAGATTGCTACCCTTGAATGGAAATACGTGTGGACCTTTTCATGGTGGAATGCAGAAGCATAGTTCCTTACATTCAGCCACTCTTAAGACAAAGCTGCCACTAATTCTGAAATGTTGTGATGCATATCACAGGAGGAATTTGCATAACACCAAGGTGTTTTCTTGTTCTCCAGAGGGTATCTATTGTAACAGCTAAAAGAAATAGTTAATTTTAAAAAAATTTGCTAAGATGTAATGCTTTCACTTTCACAGATGAGCAAATAGTTCTTTTTTTTTTCTTTTTGCCATTTGACAAGCACTTAAAATAGTTAATGAGAAGTTTCAGGTGCAGAATTCTTGTTTGCCTGCACAAAGAAGTGGTGGGAAGAGCCTTTCTATTATTTTGTCAGCATCTATCAGGACTGTTTAATCAAATCTGTGCCTCATAGCAATAATTGCTTTCAGATTTTTTTTTTCAAGAGATGTCTTCTGCTTTGCAAAAGGCAAGACACTGCATACCTAAAACATGTATTTTTATGAAAAATTAAGTTTTAAAAATCCATATATTTTCTATTGTGAAGGTTTTTCTAAATGTTTGATTTTTTTATTTACTACTATTTTTTTGGAAGTCAGATAAAAACCTAAAATGTGAACTGTATTTAAAGATATGCTTTAAGGAGATCATAAAGTTTGCAGGTCATTAATTAAAGATTTTTTTAAAAGACAGGGCAAGAAACCCTAATTAAAAGATTTGCAAAAATGCAACTGTAGAGTTTCACGATTTGGAGGAAGTCAGTATGGTTTTTGCCTCCTCTGGTAGAGCAATTGAGCATTATGTTGTGTTTGCATGCTCACAAATCCTGATCATCTTAAAGAATAGGTTTGAATGCATTTTCTTTTAAAACAAGTTATTATTAATCCCTATCACCCAGTTCAGTGATTGCCTCTAATGCACAGTGCTGAATAGTTGGGTGTTGAATTTAGTAAGGGGAATTAAGCTGTCCTAGTGATAGTCCATCTTCAGCTGCAGTTACACAGCAGCATGGGAAGAGAGACTTTGGATTTGATTCGTGTGACAGGTACTTGTTGGCCTGTTGTTTCTAGGACTAATACTAAATTTCCAAACCTCCTGGCTTTAAAATACCTTTATAAAATTGGAAGAGTAGAAATATCATGAGCCCCCTTTTACTATAAAACATAATTCAGAAGTACAAATTTGAAAATCCTTATTATCTGTTCTTATTTCACTCTCCTTTTTTTTGGTGAATTTTCCACGCTTTTTCAAATAGTGTTAAAGGAATTTTGATGAGCTGATTCAATGTAGCAAATTCTCCCTGGAGCTACTTAGTGATTTTTTTCTTTTTAAAATTACAAAGTAAGAGTATTCCAGTAACATTGTAGTTCCAAAGGAATTTCTGTCCTGAAGTATGTAGGCAAAACCGTATAGATTTCATTCAGACAATTATTTTGTATTTAAAAAACAAAAATTAAATGCAAAATCAGTTGACTGTGCAGTGTATATAAGTCCAGAGATTGGATTTATAAGCCTGTGTCTATAGTCTCTAACATAATACTTCACAGGAGCTTTAATGTGTGAGTTAGTAGTACTAGGTTAGATTATATTAACTCCCTCTACTTTACATACATGCTATGTGCAGTGTGACTTTTTCTTTTGAAGTGACATTTTTCTCTTGACCTCTGCTGGTGAAGGAGCAGCTTGCAAGAGACTCTTCTGAACAGGGATCCAGTGAAGAATTGAACGTTACAATCTGAAATCTTGTACCACTGACCACAGTTCTTCCCTCATGATGGCCTGTTTTTTGTTATTTAAAATCTCCATCATAAGACCGTAAAACTTTTCTCCTGCCTTCAGCAATTGGGGAATCTGTTTTCTTCAAGCCCTTTGAAGTGCTTTGTGCCAAGTAGGTCAGGGTTACATCTGTTGAGATGAACGTTCTGGGCCCTTTCTTCCCAGGATTACAGTATTATCTGGATGCTGCTTATATAGTTCTCCAGGGCATTTATTCCTTAAAGATAAAATCAAGCATGGTTCCTGCTCTTACCAGAGGAAGAAGAATTTGTATTCCTTCCTTTCCAGTCTAATGATTTGCATTCCTACCTTGCATCTAACTTTCTTGAGTCTGCAGTGAGATGATTTAACATGGTAAACCAGTAGGAAACTTGACTTAAGAAAAAGTGAAAATCTGTCTTCTCAATTAGCAAATTAGATCAGCTTGCTGCATAAGCAATAGTTTCAGAGCTAGTGCAAGAAATGGAAAACTTTGTGTAGCTGGGGTTTGGAAGGTGGGAGCTAAAACATTGTTTGTATCTTTACAATTTTCTACATAATGTAAAATATTAGTAACCTTGTGTTATGCAGAAGCTATGTGCTATGAGAAGCATGAGAGCTGGAGGTCTGGACTTCCTATAACAGTCTATGGCAGGGGGCTCCTATCTATTTTAACTCTGTTTTCCAGTAAAAATATCTGAAGTTGTTCCAAAACCTTCAGGTGATATGTTACCTCTTAATTTAGATGCCTTGAGTTTTAGTGCTCAGGAACAGGTTGGGTTTTTATGTTGTTGGGGTTTTTTTGTGTTGGTTTCTTGTTTGTTTTGTTTTGTTTTTTTGTTTGTTTTGTTTTTTTTTTTTAATGTAGCAAGTCTGTAGTCATTGTTCTGTGAGGATATTTTTAGTTAACTTTTTATCAGATCAATGTTGTCAAACCTTAATCAAATATAGTTACAGATGTGGTGAAACTGTTTAGAAAATGCCAGTTGTTTTCCAGAAGGAAGGCAATAATGTTACATATCAAATGTTCTTGAGATTAGATAAAAAGCCAGATGTGTTTACAGTCATCTAACACAGAAAACACTTGTGTCCCCAGTCTCAGAGGTCTCATTTGTCTATTGTATACTTGAAGAAGCAGGACTCTTGAACTATTGTAGGAGGTTTTCAAGACAGAACCACACTGGTTGCCACCTCATCCCTTCCTCTGAAGGTCTTGTTCAAGGAATGGATTTGTATTTATCTATGCTGGGTCAGTGAAGAGTGTGTGACAGCTGTTACTCTGACTGGTGATGAAGTGTGAATAGCTCTTGAGTCTCTCATTCTCTAAACTGTCCGTATGTCTGCAGAAAACATTGTTAGCTATGTTTCACATGCACAGAATAAAGTACATTTTATTTACTTGGTGTAGACAATTTATTGAAGATTTGAAGGCTGGAAGGTACAGTATAGAATGTATACAAAACTAAGTAAACGGTTGATAAGGATGTCATCCAATCTCCAGGTGACAGAGTATATCAAGCTCAAAGTCTTGATTTGCATAAGGCTTTAAATTTGCAGGGCTTGAGGTGAAGGGAGAAATTGGGGCATCATCTTGCACTGGTATCTTGTGTATTACACTTGGTTTTGGGCTATAACTCTTTTAATTTCTTAGGTATCTGTATGTTGTCATCTGTCCCAAGCAGTAACTACTATCTTAAGCATTATGATGGAGTAACAGGTGACTTTGTATTCCTTAAATAATAATGATCCAGACAGTCCTGTATTGAGAATGATTTTTCAATGCTCCTTCAAACTTTGTTGACCAACACAATGAGGATACCACATGGAGACAGGCTATGCTCACAAAGCAGGGTGGAAAGGAGAACAATCAGTTCCTGAAGTTTTAAGTTTGATAGCATCCTGAAGATTCTCTAAAAATCAGTGGCATGGTGTTTTGGGTTTCTACGTTTTTG